ATTTCTCTTTTCATTCTGATCATTTATGTATACATTTGTCTATATCTATCTCGATTCGTTTTGCCTGTTACAAACAACCGTTATGTGAACAAAGTTATAATACCCTTGTGCACAAGTGCGCTCGGGTATAAAAACACAGTCCCGATGTATACTAAATTAGAATCCCCGCGTGGTGGCTGTAATTAAATTCCTCTACTTTCGCAACAAATTTCACCGCTGCCTCTGTGTGTGCTGCATCAATCTTCACTAAAACGCCACAACAACAGACAACCGCATTGGCATACGGCGATTGACTAATTTGGTTTGTTGTACTCGCAATTATGCTAATTGTGTCGAATGGGTGGCTGGGTGTAAATTTGAAACCGAACATCAGAGCAAGTACATGCAATTTTATGCATGTATGTATGTATGTAAATAGGTGCACGCGTTTGCATTAGGTCCTTTGTATCTGATTCCGCGAAAATTGCAGCTGAAATTGTAACACCGCTGCCAGATCGAATGTGTCTTCGAACAGTATATGTAGTGTAGTACCATATATAAATCACTTCCTGCACATACGTACATATATATGAATACACTTACAAACACATATTTACTTAAATAAATTTCGTTGTTGAAAGTTTGTGGTATTTGGAGCTCAACTGACTTTGTTCCGAGAGCTGCTTGACGGCAATTCAGTACATAAGCGGCGGCGCGCTGATATGGAAAGCGCTCGTGGTTAAAGTATCCTTTAGGGAGCAATGATATGTGAATGCGAAAATTGATGAGGAGAAAAATGAGCTTAGAGACGAAACTCGCGTGAATGTTGATAAATGCTGCACCTTATTTGCGTCAAGGCAACGTATGTTTGGAGGGGTAGTTACATACGTATATGCAAGTTGCCTGTAACAACGAGTAATTGCCTATGTAATAGGCTGATATTTGGCTACGCAAGCGTGCATGCATCGTTCACGTGCAAAGCAACTTTATAAGCTCACATGCTTTCATATACATACATATGTACATATGCATCTGATNAAGCAACTTTATAAGCTCACATGCTTTCATATACATACATATGTACATATATAAAACGATGCATCGTAGCGTGAAATTGGATAAGCGCATGTGATCAAACTTTCATTTGGGGATGTTGAATTTTTTCGAGTTTATTGTTGGTAGTAAGTAACTAAGCCGACGAGGCTGGAATATAATAGAATTACAGACAAATTATATTATGACGACTAAGGAAGTTTCTCGCTTTTTGGTATCCATTAACTGATAAAATTATATCTAATTAGCAAAAAGTTTCTTACGCAATAAGTTTTATGAAGTATACAATTGGCCGTGGTTGAGTGGTAAAAGCTTCGTAATACCAATCCGTAAGGCCTGGACTCGATCCCTGGTCCGAGCAACATCTAAATTAGGAAAAACAATTTCTAACAGCAAGTAGTGACAAACCTCCGACTGAATTTCCACCGTGAAAAATCATCTCATTAAACCATTTGGAGGTGGCGTAAAATTAAAGGTCTCCCCATTTTGTGTAACAACATCAAGAAGTGTACTAAAAATTGGAGAAGAGGCTCGGCCGAACGCTCGGCAAAAGGATAAGCGCTAAAAAGTTATTAATATTACTAAGTCGGTAATAAGTTGCTTGGAAATAAACAAGCTTAACCCTGGAAAGATAACCCTACTGAAAGTTGCTGAAAAGATAACCATATGTCTGTGAGACGTATCTGTAGCCAGCCTAAATTTTGTAGTAATAAAAATTGTATGAGATTGTTTTCAAAGATACGAAGTCTTTAAATATTTTTTAATGCATTTGATTTAAAAACATTCCTCATTTAAAATGGAAATACCTCCGATTTCAACCTTCATTTCGCGAAAAAGAGAGTGAAATGTTTAAAACCCATAGGTCTCGCAGACGTAGGTTATCAAGGCCGAATTAAGTAGAATTTAATTGTAGGTTGCATTCTGTAATATTAAAAAAAAAACTTATGTTTGTAAAGTTTTCAATTGTTCGGCGTATAAAGCAAGGTTCCGAAAATATACCTGAAGCATTCGTAATGCACCTAAAATGATGGGTTTTTCTTTATGACAATTTTTTTCTAATAATACAATTATTAGCTGAGTCAGTGGGATCGTCGGTTGGAGTCCTACTGAAAGAAGTCTGATGAGGAAATGTGGTGATTTCCGAAATAGCTATCACTTCTACAACTTTTTCACAAAAATAAAAATTATTATTGCTTGTCCACAATTGATTTTCATTTAAAATCGGCCTCGAGCTCAATAAAAATTGTTGAATAGGAGAAATTAATTGTCTATATTTTGGTATATAATTAAAGTATATAGTGTATGTACGTTAATAACTTAACATTTCGTAGCAGGTTATATATATAGAATGGCATCATTTTTGCTCAACTCTGGGCTCCGTTTACTCTTTCTAATCATACGTGATGTCTGTCGGTCGCTGTAAAATGCTAGTTTTACTAATACTGTAACTTTAAATTTATTTATGGCAAAAATTTCCCACTGTGCGATGGTGGGAATCTGATAACAACGTATATATATGTGTGTGAGTGTGTGAAAGGCTTTAGTGCTTCACAAAAAACTAATTGATGCCTCAAATCGGGCTTCTTCTTCCTGTTTGGCGCTGCAACAACGCCCAAGCAATTTTAACCGAGTTCAACAAAGCACGCCAGTCGTTTCTCGTCTGTGCCAACTGACATCAATTGGATATGACAAGTGAAGCCGAGTCCTTCTCTTCTTGGGCTCTCCATCGCAGAAGAGGCATTCTACCACTTCTCTGCTACCACCAGCAGATTCCGCTTTCAGGGGGGCTACTCTGTAATGCGACACGAAAAAGCGATGCGATGCGACTAGGCAAACACATCGTAAGTAATACGCTGGCGCCTATCGCATCACATTTTTCTTTCGTATCGCATTACAGAGTAGCCGCCTAGGACTGACCTGTATTAATTAACCGTTGGGCCTACATTTTAAAGATACGTTGTTTGGGCTTAAGAGATTTTCTAAGTAACAAGTTTATAAGCTTTTTCCTACGCTTAAATAAAACTTCGTCATGGTTTTGTGCCATTTTTACTTTTCATTAATTGTCTTTTGCACTCAATTCAGCCTCTTAAAAATGGAGTGGGAGCGCTTTTTGAAGAAAATTCACAGCTTGTGTGCCTAATGTGCTGATTTCCAAAAATAGGTTGCTTTAGAGAGCGACTTTGTCCAATGAAGCGTCTATGATCCGCTTAGCCACTTCATTGCTTTCGCATGGCAAATCAAGGAAAAAAAGATAAAAGAAAACTTCAGAATAATAAAAATCACTCAATCAAAAATGTATGTATGTATGTATAGTAAAATAAATTCCATATTAATATATAAAATGAAAAAATAATAATATAGTAAAAGAAAAATTAACTTTGTCAGACTTGACGCTCCCGTCGCGAATATTGGCAATGAAACGTATTTCCTCTTGACGATAAGTTTTCCATTCAAACTTCTTGCGTCAAGTCTAGCATTGTTCATTGCTAAGTGACCATTTGTTTGAATGTAAATTAAATAAATAAGATGGCAAAAAAAAAATAGAAAAATAAAATAACAAAATTCTTTTAATGAATTTCATGTCCAAAAGTAGTTAGTTATAAGTTAGTTGACATGTAATGCTGAGGTATCCAGGTCTAATCATAGACTTTGAAATTGAGTTAATAGATTAGCACTAGTGTTCGCGTAAACAGACTAAAGTTAGGTACAAGCTAACGCCACTCGCTGCAGGGTATGTATGGGTGTATGCATTCTTTTTTTTGTGAGACTGATGTGTTGAGACACGACAGGCTGAGAAACACTCGGCAGGACTTAAGCGCTTGAATAGAAATCCTTGTTTTTTTTTTTAGAATTTCGTTTGTTTCAAATTATCAGTGTAAATACATTATTTATATTTCGTGTTGATGAAACATTTTTGCTAAAGTGTAGAGTTTGAATTTTTCATTACACTTACCGCATAATTCCCACCAGCAAAATATTTCGCCATCCATGCAGAGGCACACTTCACATGGATCAATTCGTGGCACCTGCAATACATTAAAAATTTCATATAAGTTATCAATCATAATAAATCTGGTTGGCGCTATTACTAAGAGCGTAACGAGAATATAGGCGAAACAGTTTCACAACTTGCAATTCGGGTCGAAGAGTGTTCCCAAAAGGATTAGACCAAATGAAAACGAATCGAATTAAAACAAATGCCTGATTTTTTTTCATAAATATCCTTTTGAATTGTCATCGAATGGTGATTGAGCCCTGGCTTGACACCGTTTAAATGTGTTAAAGTTTATACGAAAATACTACGTATTTTTGCAGTCAAGCCAATTCCTTCTTACCTCTAAAATGTTAGGCCTTGTTTTTCTCTACTTCTTTAATTCGTTTTGTAATTCAAAGCGGAAAAAAGAGCATTCCCTGAAGTTAAAAAATTAACGAATTTTTTCTCATTATTAAATACATCTTCAAGGCGAATTCATACAAGGTGGTGTTACCGGAGTAGTTGATTTCGAGGCGAATTTTGCTGTTTGTCAAAATGAAAAACTTCAAATTATTGTGTTATGATTGTCATAGTGTGTATAATTTGTTAATATAGTTTCTTGTTTTTGCATCTCCCTGTAGGTATTTTAAAATGAATGTATATTTTGGAAACACATTAATACTTTTTGTTTATGAAAAAGAAAACTCGAACCCAAATTTGTATATGGGCAAATCAAAAAAACAGGTAACACAGGTGTGTTATTTAGGTTCATTTTCATTGTTGTAAAATATATCAAGCTTTTAGATATAATTCATAGACGTATACTTGAAGCCTAGAAAAAATTTTGAATCAATTTCCCCGCAAACATATTCTGATCGCTCAGAATATATGAGTCGGAAA